TACATATATAGAAATAAAAGAAATAGTTTTTATTATATATATATACAATTAATATATATATATATATGTATATATAATTATATATAGATGTGTATATATATATAATGATGTAGCCCCCCGCGGAGACGGGCGACCGAGCGGGGGTCGGTCTGCCGCCGGGGCGAAGGCTCAACCGTGTCCGCGCGAGCGGCGCGCCTCTTTCCGCGCCTTTCGCGCGCGCGTTGCCGCGCTTGCATCCTTCTCGGTCTCCTTCGGGGCACGCTTCGCGAGCTCCGGGCAGATCGTCGTTTCCCCGCCTCGCCGATGCGGCGACCCTGCGAAATGGGCCGCTTAGTCGAGGGGCAAGCCTGGGTTCTGATTCGTGCAGGTGGAGGCCTGGCTCTCCTCGTAGTGGTGCTGTATCAGCTGGCAACGGCTGAGCGCGGCCTCGAATCCCGCCAGGTTCGGCGCGCCCACCTGGCTGTGCTCCCCGAAGTCTCGGAAAGCAAGCGCCCCGTGCTCGTGCTCCTGAACTCCGAAGTCCCAGCGCTGAAGCCGCAGTTGGCCCACCCGCCCGCGGCGATGGTCGACTGGCCCGCCCCCCCTGGGGCCCGCGAGGCGGGCGCGCCAGTCCACTGTGCGAGGCCCAGGTAGGGGCCAGTCACCGAACTCGACCTGGCTCGTCTTGGTCACTGCATCTCTCTACATTGGCTGGCGCACGCGTGGCGACATGTAGACCGCTGGTAACGCGCGTGTGTTCAATCCACCGTCCGGTCGTCGCTGGCGCTCCAGACGCTCGGCGGCGGACTCGCCCTCGAGCAGCTTCTCTACGAGCGCCCATGGACCGCTGGCGAGGAGGACCGCGCCCAGCCGCCCGTCGCCCGAAACCTTGGCTGAATCTGAAAGCTTCACGCTGTCCACGACCTTGCCACGGTCGCAGGCCACAACCATCGCCCATCGGCCAGGAGGAGGTCTTGGTGCGTAAGTTGGAGGCGGCAGCGGCGGCTGGGGCGGCGGAGTGGCCGCCGTGCCACCCACTGGCAGGAACCCATCGTCGTTATGATCGGCCAGAGAGGCTGGACGATCATGAGCAGGTATACAACCTTGGTTTCGATCTTCCTGGTCTCTCATCGCGGCTGCCCTGTCCTCCAGCCGCCGCAGGCGGTCTCCTTGAGGAAACCGTCCTGACCGATGCCCCTGGCCCTGCACTTGCCGCGGCCCCACTTCATGCCTCACCTCCCAGAGCACCTCGCGAATGTCGTCGCCGATGGTGAGATCCTCCACGTGCATGTCCCGACCGGGGGTGAATATCACTTATAGCCGTCAGCCGACGACAGGAGCCGCTTCGATAGTAACCCTTGACGGTCGAGCACAGGGCCGCTGACTCGATAGCGTACCCACACAGTCTGATACGAATCCATCTCGTCAGCAATGCTGTTCGTCACGAGGATCTGCCGCCGAGGCGTGCCTCGCGAGCCGCCAACCGCTGGCCGCGACGGTGCTGGCCACGCAGCCCACCACGAGGCCCACGACCACGCCGAAGATGACGAGTAAGAGTCCGCCCGGCACAAGCAGCCGCTGCTTTCCGTGTCCGCCCCCATGGGGCACGCTGGGCTCAGCGGGCACGCCAAGCACGGCGCGCGTCGCGGGCGCGCCAGCGCTGGACAAGCCGGCGCCGGTGGGCGCCGCAGGAGGTAGGACTTCGCCACCAGTCCCACCGCGCGCAGACCTGCCGCCCAAATTGCCCGTGCCATCCGCCGCGGTCACGCGCCTCAAGCCTTGGAGTCCCCTGGCTCGGCTCGTCGGGGTGCGCATCCATGTGCACATGATGTAGGGCCGCCGTTTCCGCGAGCCTTGGACGAACATCCCGCTGGGCACAGTCAGCGCCAGTATCGCCCGCGCCCCGCCGAACGAGAGATCCACCGGCTAGAACCCTAGGCGTGCAAAGGACATGGCGCGGGCCAGCCACCATTGCTTGAGATGGATCTAATACTTTGAACATTGAATATGAAGATGAAAAGCGAGCTATTACCTATTTGCATCACAAGCCAACTCGAATCATACAGAATCCGAGGAGGCTGGGATCGACGCATTTCCGATTGGCTTCATATTAAGCAACACGTGAAATATTACTACACATTTCTGCGGGAAGCGAAGGTTGGCGCATTTCCGATTAAATTGCTGTTGGGCTGGTCGGATCGGGCAACCATCAAAAACATACCGTCCCTACTGGGGGCCGTAAATGGACCTCCCTGTGGGGCACGATCTGTGCGAGGGGAAGCTGAGACTGAGACGCGGGCAGCAAGGGCACCAACAGCAGCACAGGCTGGTAGCGTAGCAACAGCAGCTGCAGAAACACCAGCGTCTGGCCGCGGCTGCATCGACCACGGCAGCAGCATGCACCAGGCAACGCAACAACAACAACAACAACAGCAACACCAGCAACACCAACAACAGCAGCAGCAGCAGCAGCAACAACAACAACAACAACAACAACACCAACACCAACACCAACACCAACAACAACAACAACAACAACAATTACTAGCACGTGGGGACACTCCGTTCTCACCAGTGCCAGGGTTTTCATAGGAGGCGGGCAATACCCCCACTTTGTGGGGGGGCCGGTTCAAGCTCTACCAAATTTCCAAACGACTCTTCGCCACCACCCACACCCAGCTTCCCGCCCTATGACGTTCGGACACTTCACTTCGTGGCATGCGGACGACCGTGGCTACTATTCAGGGCCCCGCGGCCGACGACGACGGCGTGCGCGCGCGAAGAAAAAACGAATGTGTCCCGCATGGTATTATTTGACAGGGATGATGGCCCTGGCAGGTGCGCAACCGTTGTTGCAGAAGTTCGAAAAAGTTGCTCGCAAAAGCCCGTTTGACAGAAATGATTAAAAAGTGTTGGGTTTCCTACGAATCCGCAAGAGCGCGCGGGATGAAATTTTGACATTTTTTTTTGAAAAACCATTGGTTTTTTGATGTTTTTATGTTAAAATCGCTACGAAAACTAAGGTTTTGGAAGGATTTCGTCTTGCGCGCGCGAATGTCCACTTTACCTTATTTTTTGCAAGGGATTCTTGAAGTTTGGTTATGTTAGAACAAGAAATGTCCACTTTAGCTTATTTTTTGCAAGGGAAAACCGATCGTAACAACACAACCGGATCTGGATGACATCGTTTTACCTGAGACTTCCTCACGAAAATGATGAAAATGAGGCTGCGGCCTAGGCGCGGCGGGGGGGCCATGCACCAGGGGTCCCAACAATAATTATTCTTAAGAAGAAATAATGTTCAACAACAACAACAACAACAACAACAACAACAACAACAACAACAACAACAACAACAACACCAACACCACCAACAACAACAACAACAACAACAATAACAACAACAACTTCGCATGGGGGAAGCGGGCCCTGGGGGTAACGGTTCCTGGACCCTGGGGCCTTCCCCCAAGACCAGCTCTTCATCCTGAGTCGCTCTCTGACAGTCCCGCGGCCCGACAGCCCGAGAACGGCGGAGAGAACACCACAGGACCCACCTTCCCCCAAACCCTTTTTCCCCCACGGCGAAGCGGGGGAGGAACGGGCTGAGCCGGTAATCATCTCCGCTTTCTTTTTGTTCCCCCGACGCGGGCCCCCCCCTCAAGAGGTATCGGCACCTTCCCGGCACGCGTGCTGTTCCTCCCCGTGCCGTGCCGGGCTGGAGGCAGGCGAGCGGCGCGGCCGCGAGAAGACGAAGGACTCCCCCCCCACGGTGTGGGAGGGCTGGTGGGTGGGCGTGCGGGGTCCTAAGCTTTGCCCTCGGCCCTCCTCGAGGATCGAGGAGGGATTTCGAAGCTTCTCGGACGGTTCTTGGACGTTGTCGGCCCTTGTCGGGCCTCTGGGGACCTCCGGGGACCTCTGGGGGTCAGGATCCGGGGCGGGAGCAAACTTACCAGTGGAGGGGGTGACACGTGACGGACTCCTCTTTTCGTGTGGGAGTTGTGCAGAGCACGCTGGGGGGTTTCAAACAAAAACCCAACGTGGTTCCAACAACTCGTCCGTTGGAGAAAAGCACTGCAGTGTACAGTGGGGGTTTCAAGCAACATCCCCACTGTACACTGCATGTTTTCGTGTAGGAGTTGTGCGGGGCTCGTGTGCGCGCGATCCACGATCAAAACTTGAGTGGGGAGGAGCGCGACAACGGGCGGGGAGGAACCCGACGGAAAGAGGGTTTCAGGAGGGCGAGGAGGAAGAGGACACACAAGGATCTGTAGAGGCGGCGGGGTAGGTGGCGGCAGAGGGGCTCCCGACCCCAGAGAGTGCTGAGGGGAGGAACCTCTGCCGAGCGTGTCGCGGCGGCGGCCCTTGCTACACGCCGTGCCCTGCGAGCTGACAGCGTGCCGCTCCGCTCCGCGGGGCAGGAGGCGGGGGAGTGCTCCGGGCGTTGAATTGACTAAAACGACGCGAAGACGTGGACAAAATTGGATCGGGATAACTCGAAATCTCTGGGAATCGGCGGGTTTGGAGGATGTATTGGGCGCCGCGGCCGCTCTGGAGCGATTTATCCCGAGCCTAGCCCTGTTTTGTTGACGCTCAGGGACCCGGGCGTGGTCGGCGTGTCGCGCCGGGGCGTGGTGGGCCAGACCGGGCGGCGCGACCCGCTGGGCAGGCGCTCGTGACCGTCGGCGCCTTCTTGCTCGTGCCGTGGAGTCTTTTGCTCGCCGAGGTGCCGCGGCATGCGTTGCCTCTGTCGATAGGCCTGAGGTGTCGTCTGCTGAGGGTCCTCGGCGCCGGCTGCCCCGCTGAGGGAGAGCTGGCTCCACGACAGCGCAGACGGGCCAGGTGGCAACGCGGAAACCAATATCGGGGCATGGCGCTGAGCGGCGGGTGCTCTTAACTCCACCTCGCCTGCCAGGGATCCCCATTTGAAGTGTTGGAAGAAGAAGGGGGAGGAGTGTGAGAAGGTGAATGGACAGCGCTTGCCCGACGAGCCCCTGAAGCTAGAAAAAACGACGCCACGGCCATCAAACCTGTAGGGACGCGGCGGGCGCGGATGTCGTTGGGGCTGTCCGTGTGCAACTGTCTGCTGGGCGGCTCTTCTGGCACCTGCACTCCTTGCTGCAACCAGACCAGGTTCTGTTATCGCTCTTGAGGTGGCAGAAGTAGTAGAGCCCCTCCTTCCCGGGAGACGTAAGATTCGAGTTTGGAGGACTCGACTTGGCCTGACGGGGCCGTCAGGAAAAATGGCGAGACCCGCCTGAAATTTGACGCGAGCTCCCGCTGCAAGCATCCCACGAAAACTGGAGAACCACAACTCGGGAACGTAAGGCTCGAGTTCCCGCGAACTCAAGTCTTTTCCGTTTACCCCCTCCTTGCAGATGCACTTCCCGGCCACACACTCGGTGGGCCCCACCTCGGCCTCGGAGGGGCAGCCGAGCATGGTCACTCCGAAGAACATGTTGCACGTGTCGCCCGTGAGCAGCCTCTTCTGGCTCGCGGCCTCTCTCGTTTTCCCACCCACGCAGCTGCCGTCCATCGACGAGCACATCCCGTGCGGGCACAGGCACTTGTAGCCCGCGGTCGTGTTGCACTTGGCGCCGCGGCGCCAGTCGTCGCAGCCGAACGCCCTGCAGGTGCCGCCCGTGTCCGCGCTGCAGACCGCCTGCTGCGGCACGCAGATGCCCTCCTCCGACGAGCACGTCCCCTCCGGGCACACGCACTTGGACGTGGCCGTGTCGCACTCGGCGCCGCGGCGCGACGTGCGGCAACCGAAGAGTTTGCAAGTGCCACCCGTGTCCGCGCGGCACTTGGCCTCGCCGTGCCCGGCGGCGCCGAGGGCCCACAGCGGCAGCAAGGCAGCGATGCGCACCATGGCGGGGAGTGCCTGCCCGAACCTCACCACTTCCGTCCCAGGCTGCCCTCGAGCCGGCGCTGCTACGGAAAAGCACCATCAGCCTCTCCGACTCGCCCTGGGCCTCCCGGGGCCCTCGCCGAGCGGCCCGAGCAGCGCACTGGCAGAGAAGGGCCGAGATCTCTGGCTGGCCAGATCTTCGACGACTTGATTTTTTCGCGGGCGTCCAGTGCGGGGGGCTCGTAAATCATGGCCCGCCGACCCTCAACCAGAGGCCACTCTCAAGCGGCGCTATCTCATCGACTCCCAGACGCTAATCGACGCTAATCGAGGCTAAAGGCAATCTTAAAGGGGTATACCATGCTCCCATGGGGGGCGGAACCTCCCTGCCGACCCTCGGTGGTTCAAATATGAGGTCCTGAAGGATGGTGTCCTTCGGACGAGGTGCCTCAAACAATGTACATCCAGTCTTGAATCCCTTCCTATTCGTAGGACCCCATCCCTCAGGACCCCATCTTTGAACCACCGAGAAGGAGGAGGAGGAGGAGGAGGAGTAGGAGTAGGAGGAGGAGGAGGAGGAGGAGGAGGAGGAGGAGGAGGAGGAGGGAGGAGGAGGAGGAGGAGGAGGAGGAGGAGGCCACTCCCGCGGGCGAGGCCGCCCGTGGGCGCGCGGCACGCGGGCCCGAACGGGGCCTTCGCCAGGAGCCGTCGGGCGGCCGAGGCCTGCTCCAGGAGCTGCGCCGGCCTCCTGCAGGGCGCCAAGGGGGGCGCGGGGCGAGCCTCCCGACTGCCGGGCTCCCTCCCTCCTCCTCCTCCTCCCTCCTCCTCCTCCTCCTCCTCCTCCTCCCTCCTCTTCCTCCTCCTCCCTCCTCCTCCTCTTCCTCCTCCTCCTCTTCCTCCTCTTCCTCCTCTTCCTCCTGCTCCTCCTCCGCCTCCTCCTCCTCCTCCTCCTCCTCCTCCTCCTCCCGACTTGGCGGCGCGCACAAGGGGGTGGAGGACGGGGGGAGGGGGCTTCTTCGAAGGGGGCTGCTGCTTAGAAGGCGCCGGGCTTACATCTATAGAGAAGGCCCGTGGCTTCTAAGAAGCAGGGGTGCTTCTAAGAAGCCCTCCCCCCTTCCCCCTTCTGCGCGTGGCTGACAGACCACCTCCGTCATCCGTCACAACGTTTAGGTCGGGCCTGTCCTCGTACAGGCGCATTTTGGACGAACAGTCAAAAGCAACCGAACAATAGTCAAACAGACGTAAGAACATGAGAAACATCGTCCCCCGACTATGTTTTAAAACTATTTTAGAATATTCCTCCTGTAGAGGGACATGTCCGACTTACCCAAACTCCCTCCAGACCTCCGTCATCCGTCACAACGTTTAGGTCGGGCATATCCTCCTACAGGCGGATTTTGGAAGACAAATCAAAAGAGCCCCAAACTATGCAAACATAGGAAAATAGCATAATTACCCTGTGACGTACCCAACCCATTTGTATCAATGGAAACGAGGAGTTGGCCGAAACTTGCATGGACAATCAACATGATGTGTAAGCTACTTGGGACACGCGCCTATGGCATGATGTGCAGGAGAACCCTACAAGGACGAGGGGCGACAGCTACAGGCTCGAAGAGGACATGGGGAGTCGGGAACGCAGAGCAGGAGAAACACGTGCGGGAAGCCGAACCATCAGCACGGCAGCAGCACAGGGAAGGTGACTGCAGGAGGAGAACAAGGACGAAAGCGGCGTCTAATTTGAGTCTGCGGTGGGTACCCACTGTGCTGTGCCCCTCAGCAGGCCTCGAAAGTGGCGACAGTTTCACAGATCGCAGCCCCCCAGGGATGGCGAGGTCTAATTTGAGTCTGCGGTGGTACCCACTGTGCTGGGCCCCCCAGCAGGCCTCGAAAGTGGCGACAGTTTCACAGATCGCAGCCCCCCAGGGATGGCGAGGTCTAATTTGAATCTGCGGTGGGTACCCACTGTGCTGGGCCCCCCAGCAGGCCTCGAAAGTGGCGACAGTTTCACAGATCGCAGCCCCCCAGGGATGGCGAGGTCTAATTTGAATCCGCCGCGGGTGCGTCACTGTGCTGGGCCCCCCAGCAGGCCTCGAAAGTGGCGACAGTTCCACAGATCGCAGCCCCCCAGGGATGGCGAGGTCTAATTTGAATCCGCCGTGGCGTCACTGTGCTGGGCCCCCCAGCAGGCCTCGAAAGTGGCGACAGTTTCACAGATCGCAGCCCCCCAGGGATGGCGAGGTCTAATTTGAGTCTGCGGTGGTACCCACTGTGCTGGGCCCCCCAGCAGCCCTCGAAAGTGGCGACAGTTTCACAGATCGCAGCCCCCCAGGGATGGCGAGGTCAATTTGAATCTGCGGTGGGTACCCACTGTGCTGGGCCCCCCAGCAGGCCTCGAAAGTGGCGACTTTCACAGATCGCAGCCCCCCAGGGATGGCGAGGTCTAATTTGTTGGCGTCACTGTGCTGGGCCCCCCAGCAGGCCTCGAAAGTGGCGACAGTTTCACAGATCGCAGCCCCCCAGGGATGGCGAGGTCTAATTTGAATCTGCCCGTGTGTACCCACTGTGCTGGGCCCCCCAGCAGGCCTCGAAAGTGGCGACAGTTTCACAGATCGCAGCCCCCAGGGATGGCGAGGTCTAATTTGGGTCCGCCCGTGGCGTCACTGTGCTGGGCCCCCCAGCAGGCCTCGAAAGTGGCGACAGTTTCACAGATCGCAGCCCCCCAGGGATGGCGAGGTCTAATTTGAATCTGCGGTGGGTACCCACTGTGCTGGGCCCCCCAGCAGGCCTCGAAAGTGGCGACAGTTTCACAGATCGCAGCCCCCCAGGGATGGCGAGGTCTAATTTGAGTCTGCGGTGTGTACCCACTGTGCTGGGCCCCCCAGCAGGCCTCGAAAGTGGCGACAGTTTCACAGATCGCAGCCCCCCAGGGATGGCGAGGTCTAATTTGAGTCCGCGGTGTGTACCCACTGTGCTGGGCCCCCCAGCAGGCCTCGAAAGTGGCGACAGTTTCACAGATCGCAGCCCCCCAGGGATGGCGAGGTCTAATTTGAATCTGCCGTGTGTACCCACTGTGCTGGGCCCCCCAGCAGGCCTCGAAAGTGGCGACAGTTTCACAGATCGCAGCCCCCCAGGGATGGCGAGGTCTAATTTGAATCTGCGGTGTGTACCCACTGTGCTGGGCCCCCCAGCAGGCCTCGAAAGTGGCGACAGTTTCACAGATCGCAGCCCCCCAGGGATGGCGAGGTCAAAGGCAGGGGGGAAGAGAGGGACCGGAGGGAAGGAAGGAAGGTTCGCGCGAGCAGTGCTCTATTCAAAACGAGAACCCAACACAGGAGGGTTGGG